ACTAGTTAAATACAACGCCCACACCCTGTGACTGCCCCTTACTTTCACACTGCTTGTCCTTCTCAAAGACCCCATCTTGGTCTCCTCTCCACCACCACATCTCAGCAGCTCAGGCTGTCCCAAGAGACTTGAGTGAAGACACAGGCAAAGACAGCGCAGGGGCTTCCAGGCTGAGCCCAGCCTCCTGCCCAGGTGTGGGCTCTCTGGACCCATCCAGGGATGAAATTAACACCCACAGCAACAGACATCGGTGGAGCCGTTGCTGTGCGTGAGGCACAAGGGACCCAGGGAGAACTGGCCATTTGATTTCCAACTCAGAGCTTGCAGTGCAATTGGAGGGAGGAAGACGGGATACATGATGGAACGAAAAAATCATTCTATTTCCATAAACCACATGTGAAAATCAGCCAGATTTCTTACATATAAGTAGAAAAAGTAGTAATCCAAGATCCACACTCAACAACAGATGAGTGGGGACAGGCAGAGGCACTCTGGGGACACTGAGGAAGGACAGTGTTGTTAAAAATAATAGAACTGGGTGCTGCAGTTCAGACTGTAATCCCAGCACTTTGGGAGACTGAGGTGGGAGGATTGCTTAAGTCCAGGAGTTCAAGACCAGCCTGGGCAACACAGTGAGACCCTATCCTATTAAAAATAATAATAGGAGCTGACAATAACACAAAAGTGGACATTTCCAGATATGATCATATTGTCCTTGTTTGGCCAGTGTCACCAGCAGCTGGGTCCCCATTATGGGGCCTGGGTGCCCAGGGAAGTTAAGAGGAGATAAGCTCCCTCTGTTCCTGTACATCTCTGCCCACCTCACCTCTGAAGAGATTGTTATATCCTTGCTATCTATAAAATAGGACATTACAATGTTTGTTAAAAAAAAAAAAAAAAGTAACTCCCAAATTTCTGAGTTTCCTATGTGTTGGGGCTGGGGCTAAGAACTCTATGTACATCATCTAATTTAATTCTCAGTAACACAGATGATCTCTTGATGTCCCTTTAAAGCTTCGGGGGTCACTTTTAGTATTCAGATAAAAATAGTTCCATGCCGTACAGTCTCCAAGATTCCTAAGAATGGCCAGGACCTGGCATTTTCATGATTCCCTCTCATTCTGATTTCCTCTTCTCTCTCAATCCTGTTCTGACTCAGTTTCTGAGTTCATGCAATTTTTTGGGTTTTTTTGTTTTTGTTTTTGTTTGATTGTTTGTTGTCTTCTTATTGACCTACAGAAGAAGAGATACCAAAACCAGACTTGGGAGACAGGGAGAGTCCAGGAAGGCTTCCTGGAGGAAGTGGCAGATGAGATCTGTCTCATCCTGAATTTTCCCCCAAAATGTTACTAACCTATGGCAGAACTTGTAAGATAATTTTCCTAGAAGTTGGGAGTAACTGGGGAGTAGGAGGGACCTTCTTATAGCCAAACGAGCAACTCGAAATTTAAAACTCAGGCCTCTTGCTCTTGCCAGTTCCTGCTGAACCAGTCACATCTTCCGGGTTCTGTCTTCAGCCTCTGCCCTCCAATCCCGTGGTTGACTCCCCTCACCCCTACCGCACTCCCCCATTTCCTGGTTCTCATCGCTTCCTGCTGAAATGGCTTTTGTCTTTGGAGCAGTTCAGCCCCACTCTTTGGCCTTCTCTTCCCAGTTTCACTCTGGTGGGTAGAGAGCTTTATCTGACACAATCAGTGGGTCATTTTCCGGAACAAAGATCCCTGTCTCCCTGGCAGCAATGCATGCCTTTCTCTAGAATACAAAAGCAGCTAGAGACACACACTTGACTCACAGCAATGATGAGAAGCAGGGATTGCCATTTACATAAGAGGAGACTGAGGCATAGAGCAGGTAAGAAGTTTGCTGAGGCTGAGGTCTCAAAGCTGCTAAATGGTGACATCTGGATTTGAAATAGGTCTGTGGGCTCCAGACTATCCCTCTTAACTGTGACATGAACTTTCAAAGAGGTGAGGCTTGAAGAAAGCTTGGAGGGAGGGAACAGACGGACAGAGAAGCCCAAGACGTGAGGCAGAGTCCAAGACCTGCTGAGCCCATGGGAGTGAACCGGGGCAACTGAGGCAGGGAGCCTGGGAGGAAGCCATCACCGAGGCGGGCAGGAGATAAGCAGGTGGACTGGAAAGCAAATTAGGAGGAAAACCTAAGGGACAGTTGGGTCAAATCAAACAGAAGGACTGAGTATGGGGGCTGGCAGAGAAGGAGGAATCAGGAATCCTGTCCAGGTTTCTGACCGGCAACTAGAGAGATGCTCACTGAGATGGTGGCCATGCAGGAAGGCAGGGAAGGGTGTTCAGAACGTGCTCAAGTTCACACATGTGGGGATGGAGATGCTCTTAAGCTGCTGGGCTGTTGCTCCTGAGACAAGCCCACACTGGAGCAGCCAGCAGCCTACAGATGGTAATTAAAGCCACAGGGAGGATGAGCTCACGCAGGGAGAACGCGTGGAGGGAGGAGGTGAGGACTGGGATCCACTCGAGGAGCACTCACAGCAAAGGGGGAGGGTGACCATCGAAGGAAAGCAAGAAGCCAGCCAAGGTCAAAGCCAAGGCCAAGGCCGCAGGCACCGGCAGGGCTCCGCCTGGGACCTGAGGCTGGACTTGCCCACATGGCCAAATGCCATGGGAGGCAGAAACGTCCTGAGAACAGCAGTTGGATTTAGAAGTGGTAAGGGGGTGACTGGAGAGGGGACTTGGTGACTTTGTAGACCACTGGGGATGCCACTCAGAGGAAAAACACCTGGAAGTCTATTTGTAAAAAAAAAAAAAAGTGAATGAGAGAGGAGAACATCAGACAGCAAGGAACGCTAATCCTCTCAAGACAGGAGTTGGGGGAGAAAAGATAAGCCGTGATCTGAAGAGACAGCTGGGGCCAAGGGAGAGAGGGTTTTGTTTGTTTTGTTTTAAGTGGGAGAGTTGAGCCAGCAGCTGTGAGTGAAGAGGGGAGGTAGAAAGCAGAGGTGAAGATTCAGATGGAGGCAGAGTTCGCGGCTTAGGAGCAGAACTCTCCTAAAAACACGCTCTGTCAAAAACATCCAAATCAGCAGAAATCCACTAGGAGATCAGGGCCTGACCAGGAGCCATGGTCTCAGGAGGGTCAGAGTAGGAATGAAAATGGCTCCTAGTGGAAGGAATGGCCAGGGGCTGGGAAAGCAGTTCTCAGGAAATACAGTGGCAGCCTGCGTCCCTCTGGGCCACCCATGCCCCCCAGCACAGGGGCCACAGCGAAGCTCTCTGCCCACCTCCTGGAGGCTGCTTGTCTGGTCCTTGCACCACCCACATGGGCTGCCCCTGCTGGTTTAGCATGGACCTGGGTTTCTCTCTCCTTATGCTCTCTGGGGCTTACCTGCATGCCTACAACTTCTACCTGAAGTCACCCTGTCCCCTGGCCTGGGTGTGCAGTATCCCAGCTCCTCGCTCTTTGATTTGGAGCAGAAGGTGTCCCAAAGTCCTCACACCCAAAGAAACCGAATTCTTCCTTGAGCCTGCCCTCCCCACAGCCACTGAAAGGTGTCTGCAGACCCGGCTCCTCCAGCCTCTCTTCCACATCCCCAAGCTCAGTGAGTTCCACCAGCAATCCTGTTCCTACACCGTGACTACAACGGTGGCCGTGCACTGAGCCCGTGCCACTCACTGATCATTCCTTTATTGAATACTACTGGAGCAGCTACCACGTGCCTGGTGCTTTACCGATTGCTGGGATGCAATGGGGAACAAGTCAGGTTTGTTCCTGCTGTTGTGTGGCTTGAAGCCTTCCATCTAGCATTGTGCTAGACACTGCTTGTGTTATCCCCTTTATTCCTGCAGCAGCCCAGTGAGACAAGCATCACCACCTCCATTTTAGAAAAGAAGAAATCAAGGCCCAACGTGATAAGAATTCCACAGTTTATAGAGAGCAGATCCTTAACCCACCATCCCGGGAGGCTCTGCTTCCTCCACCCAGGGTTGACTCAGCTTCTCTAAGCTCAGGTTCCCCAAGTTCTCTTCTAGAGTGATTCCTCTCCCCTCTTCTCTCCACTGGAGGAGAGGGTGCGTTGTTTGAGCCTGGAGACCGAGGTCTGAGGCCCAGCTCCTGGATCATGACTGGGTAACCTGGAATGGACTATTTATTTCATGGCTCAAAGCCCAAGTCCCCTCCTTGGTAAAAGGAGTGAGGATGATCCTCCAGGGCCTGCCCTCCCCAGATAGGCGCTGGGGGGATTACATGAGGTCAGAGATGGGAAAGTGCTTTCAGAGGCACCCACAGGCAAGGGGTTAGGCTTATGAAAACTTTCTCTAAGCGGAAGCCCTGGCATCAGCAAATTACATACTAACGTGTGTTGAGTCACTACACTTCCTGTCCCAAGCTGTTTATACTGGGAGTGCTTCGCTAGCTGTGTAATGAAAGGGTTTTCCTCTCCTAAAGGAATTTCAGGTGTCTCCTAGCAGGGAGAGGAAGGAATCAGGGGCCTTCCTTGCACCTCTGAAATCATAGCCCAGAGGGCTGAGACTAGCATTTGTTGAGCATTTAGTATATGCCAGGCACTAGGCTAAGCTCTTTGCACACAATACCTCATTTATTTCTCATAAACCCTTAAGATGAAAATGCTATCCTTACTTCACAGATAAGAAAGTGAATGTATCTGAAGCCACAAAGCTTTGAAGTGGTGAATTTAGGACTTAGAGCTAGGCCTGTCTGACTCCAAAACTCATGCTTTTCCCAGGAAGAAAAACCCAGCCCTGCCCCAAATCCCTGCCAAAAGCGACCTCCTCCAACTGCAGCCTCAGCACCGCCACTCTGATGCTCACTGGTGTGCCTCCTGCCCACCTTTGCACCACACAAGGAGCTCTTGGAGGACAAAGACTCTGTTGAACTCATCTTTGTATTTCCAGCCATCAGCACAGTGCCGGGGCCAGAGATAGCATCAACGAACATTCTGCCGAATGATTGGATGGTCAAAGAATAACTTTTGCTTAAGGGCAAAATTGTGACTCTCATGCAAATAATCAAACTATGTCAAAAATTGTATTTAGTTCATTAATTCATGGGGGAACCAGTAAGATATTACAATTGGTTAAAAGAAAATCTCAAAGAACCTGAAATATAGCTCTCATAGTCTGCTCCGATCATAGTCTGCTCCTCCTGCCGTAAGAAAACACCATAGGCTGGTGGCTTACACAAGGGAAATCTATTTCTCACAGTTCTGGAGGCTGGAAGTCCAAGATCAAGGTTCCGGTGTCTGATGGGGGCTCACTTCCTGGCTTGTATGTCCTCTTGCTGTGGCCTCACACGCCCTTTCCTCATTGTGTTATTACCAGCTTTCTGTAACTTTCAGGGCTGTAAAATAGCTCAAAGACCATGAAAGCCTGGAAAAAAAACCAGAAGAGTATGCTAGACAAGACACCCAATCATCTTTTTGGTCCATTTCAAAGTCTTTCACAATTTTTCCCTATAGAACGCATCAATGAAAACAGTTGTCTGGGATGCCGCTGGGAGTGTCCACTCCCCCATCCACCCCCAGTCCCATCTCTCTCCGGTTGCGCTTTGTCAAGCTTCTTTCATCACCCACTTCCATCAGACAGTGGGTGGTCCCACAGCTTGGCCCTGAAGCCTTTCAACTGCCAACCAACCCCACCCAGAGTGATATTGACACCCCAGACTCGCACTTACAACTGCCTGTGCCGTATCTCCTTTGTCTGGAGTAGAGAAAGAAGGCCGCATTACAATGTCCTAAATGGAGGGGGCCTCTGACTCAGAACAGCCACGCAAGGGCACAGGTGACCTAGGAAAGAGGGCCCTACACTGCATGTACTCCCTTGCCACTCACATTGGCATTGGCCCATGGAAGATCTTAGCCCAGGAAAGAGGGTGCCTGACACAGTCTTGCAGGAAAGGGGCATCCCCAGGCTGCCCAGACCTAAGGGCTCCTTCACCAGCTAGCTGGGCACCATTGAAAAATTTAAGACCTTGTCAGAAACTGCAGCTGACAAGGGGCCGAGGGTATAAGAGGAAGATCACGCATGAGAAGGAGGCTCCCACTGGAAAATCAATGGAAAGCAAACCCTGGGATGTCTAAATGCCAAGAATAGTCCAGGTGGCTCATTGGAAAATTCAACCTTGATTTCAGATCCCTTGAAAATCCAACATTTGCTCTTAAAAAACAATTTCTGATGTCTTTATCTGTCTTCCTTTTATGAAGGTCAAGTTCTACCTGCAGAATGGTGTTTGTGATGCAGGTCCACAGTGTTTATCTCTGGAATATCAGTGGGCACAAACTGGCCAAGACCCCCATCAGCCGCTGACAGCCTCACATCTCTAGCCTGCACTAGCAACAGCATCTAACTAGTTCGCTGGCCTCCAGTCTCACCCTTTAACCCAACCCACAAGGATGCCAGAGTCAGTTTTCCAGATACATTTGGCCTTATCATTTTCCTGCGTAAAGTATTTCGTTGGCTTCTGATTGGCTGCCTGTAAGATAAAGGCCTGTGGTGTCCAAGGTGTTCCACAACTGCCCCCTGCTCACCTCCCAGCCTTGTCTCATCACTCCCTGATCCCTTCTTTGGGCTCCACCCTCACCAGTTTCTGGGAGTTCTCTGCATGCCCCAGACCATTTCTCCCACCTTTACTCACACCCTTCTTCTGACCAGCTCCTATCCCCTCAGAGATTGGTTCAGGTGTCCTCCCAGCACACGTGCTCTCTCTCTGCTCCAGCATACCTCTGTCAATCACCACATCGCTCCTCTATGTTGACAGGTCTGCTCCCCTTCCACCAGACGATGGGCTCCTTGAGAGCAAGCATCATTTCCCGTACCATTGACTGCTATCCTCGCAAAATGCATGTCCATCCAGAACCTGGGAATGTGACTTTAATTTGGAAATAGGGTCTTTGCAGATACGATCAGGGTTAACATGAGTTCACACTGGATTAGAGTGGACCCTCACTCCAATACAATTGGCATCCTTTTAAGAAGAGGGAAATGTGGACCCAGCGGCACACAGGGGAGAATGCCTTGTGAAGACAGAGACAGATTGGAGTGAGGCTCTACAAGCCAAGGCATGCCAGGGACTGCCAGAAGCCATCAGAAGCTAGGAGAGAGGTGTGGGACAGATTATTTTCTCGAACCTCAGAGGGAGCATGACTCTGCCATCACCTTGATTCTGGGCTTCCAGCCTTCAGAGTTGCGAGAGAAGAAATGTCTGTTGCTTTAAGCCACGCTGTTTGTGGTAATTTGTTACTGCAGCCCTAGGAAATTCATAGAGTTCTTATCAGAGCCCCTAGCCCGGTGCTTGGTAAATGTTGAAAGGGTGAATTAATGGAAGGTCTTACAATACACTGCCTGCCTCACTCCCTGGCCTCAAGTTGTAGCTGAGGAGGGGAGAGAAGACTCGGGACCAGAGGACTCCCTCTGACCAAGGGAGACAGGCTCAGTCAACACATATTTATTGCATACTTAGCAAGTGCAAACAGCTATACCCCATGTAGTGAATCAAAAATGACTCTCATCCTAACAAAAATGACCTAACGCCATGGATAATAGTATTAGTCCATTTTCACACGCTATAAAGAACTACCTGAGACTGGGTAATTTATAAAGAAAAGATGCTTAATTGACTCACAGTTCAGAGTGGCTGGAGAGGCCTTAGGAAACTTGCAACCATGGCGGAAGGAGAAAGGGAAGCAAGGCACCTTCTTTACAAGGCAGCAGGAAGGAGAATGAACACAGGAGGAACTACCAAACACTTACAAAATCATCAGATCTTATGAGAACTCACCATTGTGAAAACAGCATGGGGGGAACCACCCTCATGATCCAATTACCTCCACCTTTTCTCTCCCTTGACGTGTAAGAGATTACAGGGATTATAGGGATTGTAATTCAAGATGATATCTGGGTGGGGATACAAAGCCTAACCATATCAATAATGCAGCCATTGTTTGTGGAATGCATTGCCTCTCACGGAGGCCTGGGCGAGGCTCACCTCAGCATGGGTGACGGGGCAGAGCTGCTGAGGGAGGGGAAGATGTTGAGTTTGCAGAAGAGAGGCTTTTAAAGGGACAAACTCCAAACATGGAACAGACAGTGGAATGAGAGAGACGTGTCCCCTGTGGTTCCAAGGCCAATGTTTAGAATTCACAGGAAAACAGATTTAGGCTCAATCTGAGGATGAGTTTTCTAATAGGAGGGAAAGGAAACCAACACTGTTGAGTGCCTGCCCAATGCCAAATAACAGCCCCGCGAGGCAGGTGTTACTCCCTAGGCCCAATCCGCAGATTGGAAAACTAAAGAGACCTGCCCTAGATTCCATGGCTGAGGGTGGAGCCAGGATCCAAGCCCAGGGCTGCCTGCCTGCAGGTAAACACACCACCCCCGTTCCCCAAAGGCCATGTTGAGTATCCCCAGCTGTCCGTGGTGGAATCCAGAGTCAGGACAGGCTAGATGAAGGTGATCCAGAAATGCTCCAACTTCTGGGAAGGAGGGTGGGCTAAATAACCTTTAAAATCTCCTCTAAGTCCGAGGGATTCACTGGTCACCTTGGATCACAGGGACGGTGCTGCAATCACTTTCCAACACCTCCCTGTGAGCATCACAGGGCCAGAATCCACACGTGCCCTCAGCAGCTGGCCCTGAACGTAGACCAGCTCTCAGACGTGGAGCTTGCCTGCTGCATCATCTTTTTATTTTTTAATTTAATATTTATCTATTTATTTATTTTACTTTTTTGGGAGAGTATCTCACTATGTTGCCCAGGCTGGTCTCAAACTCATGGGATCAAGCCATCCTCCCGCCTCAGCCTCCCAAAGTGCTGAGATTCTAGGCATGAGCCACCATGCCCGGCCTGCACCATCTTTTTAGCCCACAGAGAAGAACCTTAAGTGGAGAGTGAGTGGATTTTAGCCAGGCAAGAAGGGACAATAATGTTTTTGGAATGGCATCTACAAAAGGCCAGTTGTGAGAGAAAGCATTTTCTGGACAGGGAGTGAAAAAGCGTTATCAGTAAAAGGAAGGGAGTAGCAGGAGATAGAGGCAGCCGTAAAGGAAATCAGGTTAGATCTGGAAGAACCTTGCAGGCCAGCTGAAGGGACTGAAACTCATCCTCTACAAAAAAGGAAGCCATTGATAACATTCTCATATACAAAATATATAAAGAACTCTAATAACTCAGCAAATAAAAGACCAATCACCGGCCAGGCACAGTGGCTCACACCTGTAATCCCAGCACTTTAGGAGGCCTACACGGCTGGATTGCTTGAGGCCAGGAGTTCGAAACCAGCCTGGCCAAACATGATATAACCCTGTCTCTACTAAAAGTACAAAAATCAGCCAGGCATGGTACACACCTGTAATCCCAGCTACTTGGGAGGCTGAGGCAGGAGAATCACTTGAACCTGGAAGGTGGAGGTTGCAGTGACTGAGATTGCACCATACCCAGCCAAGGGGCTTCCCCTACCTTCCCAGAAGGGAGGCTGAAGGGTAGCTTGTCCTCAATGGTCCTGGGTGTTGGTTTCTGTTCGTGGTGCATCTGCCTCTGCAGTAGACTACCTGTGGGTGGACTGTTCTCCAGACACAGCCACCCCGTACAGTTGTGCAGATTGTACTCTGTACAGATGGGGCTGCTGAGATGGTGAAAGGAACTGAAATCCAGCCTGTGCTCTCATCAAAAAGCAAAGGCATCTCGTAGAGGCAGCAGCCCTTACCACTCCCCTAGCCCCTCTGACACAGGTCCCACTTCCTAGGCCAAGACTGGGGCAAGGAAACCAAGGCACCCACCGCAGGCACAGAATGTGAGGTATAGCCCCAGAACTCAGCAATTGGGCTGGGTGTGGTGGCTTACACCTGTAATCCCAGCACTTTGGGAGGTTGAGGCAGTGAGACTGCTTGAGCCCAGAAGTTCAAGACCAGCTTGGGCAACATAGCAAGACTCCATCTCTACAAAAATTTTTAAAAATTAGCCACACATGGTGGCACGTGCCTATAGTTCCGGCTACTTGGGAGGCTGAGGCAAGAAGATCCCTTGAGCCCAGGAGTTCAAGGCTGCAGTGAGCCATAATCACACCACTGCACTCCAGCCCCAGCAACAGAGCAAAACCCTGTCTCTAAATAAATTAATTAATTTTAAAAAATTTTTTAAATCAGAACAATATAGCAAATTTTAGAGGCAGGTTCCAACCCTGCACATGGATGATCCTGTCTCACTCACCTCACTCTAATCTTGGCCCTAGTTCCAATAAAATTTTATTCATAAAACCAGGCAGGCCGGGCATAGTGGCTTATGCCTGTAATCCCAGCACTTTGGGAGGCCAAGCTGGGTGGATCACAACACACAGTCAGGAGTTCAAGACCAGCCTGGCCAATATGGTGAAACCCTGTCTCTACTGAAAATACAAAAATTAGCCGGGTGTGGTGGCAGGTGCCTGTAGTCCCAGCTACTGGAGAGGCTGAGGCAGGAGGTATCATTTGAATCTGGGAGGCAGAGGTTGTATGCAGTGAGCTGAGATCGCACCACTGCACTCCAGCTTGGGCAACCAAGCGAGACTCCATCTCAAAAACAAAAACAAAAACAAAACAAAACAGGCAACAGCTGGGCGGTGGCACATGCCTGTAGTCTCAACTACTCAGAAGGCTGAGGCAGGAGGATTGCCAAAGTCCTGGAATTCAAGACCAGCCTAGGCAACACTGAGACCTTGTCCCAAAAGATAGATAGATCGATAGATAGATAGATAGATAGATAGATAGATAGATAGATAGATAGATAGACAGACAGACAGATAGACAGACAAAAGAATTAAAAATAAAACTAGGCAGAAATCCCATGAACCATACTTTGCCAAATTTTTTTTAAGAATTGCATTAAAATATTATTTATCTTGATTGCTGGGCTGCCCCACTCCTGCTAGCCCTGACTTGTCCCCCTAGTCCTCATCTCTCAGATTGGAGGCCACTCTGGATTTCCTTGGTACCAGCCACAGGCCAGGAGCCTGAAGGGGGTTACGGGAAAGAATCAGCTGCAAGGATCTCAGGCCCTCGCACTGCCTGAAGGCACCTTCTGCTCGGCTTGTCTGTTCCCTGCTGGTGCAGGATATTCTGAGAGTTCCAGAGGGAAGCAGGGCATAAACTGCCTGGGGCTGAGCAGAACCACCCGTGGTTTCTGTCACCCCCTGGGGTTCTGACCTCTAAGTAAAAAGTAGAGGAGGCAGAGGTGGAGACCAGACCCAACAGCTCCTTCCAAACGGTGGTTCTGCCTCTCTCCTTGGGCTTCCCAATTTCCCAGGAAGCCTTTCCTGCGTGGAAGGGCAACTACCCTCAGGTCTCTGCTCTGTGCTTAACTTTTTTCCCCCATTCATCCATCATTTAGTCACTTATTTAACAATCATTGGTCCCTACTATGTGCCAAGCATTTGCTAGATTCTAAAGATACAGAGAAAGCCCCACTACTCTCAGAGCACACAGTAAGAGAGACCAACATACACAAATAATTACAGTAATGTTCTGTGTATAAAGTGCAAAAAGAAAACCTGTGCATGCACAGGTTTAGCTGGAGCATGGAAAAGGGTATGATTACTTGTCTCTGGGAGCCTCAGAACAAGGGGGGCCCGATTTCTTCAAAGAGACAAGGTGTCAGTGGACCTTCCCAGCAGAGAGAAGAGCACACACAAGAATCTGGATGGAGAAGGAGCAATGGAAACAGAAGTGAGAGAACGGATTGAAAGACAGAGAGGCATTGTCATAGCTGGGTAGTAGGCAATTGACATGAGCTTATCTGAGCATAGGGGTAATTGTGCTACCATTTCTATGAGGTTGTTGAGAATATTAAATCAGTTATCTAACCCTTAGCATGAAAGGACACAAAGATACAAAAATGCGTACCGTCCCTTCCCCCCCTCCGATGTTGCTAAACTCTTTGTTCTGCTTTCTAATCTCTGCACGTACCAGAGGTTTCGTAAGTTCTGTAAGTACATGTTTTTCTTTCTGAGGCCAGGTCACAAGGAATGTTTAAGTAAGATAGCCAGGTCACAAAGTGTGTTTAAGCAAGATAGCCATAAACTGGTCGTGCAACCTGATGCAATGTAATTAACTGCCTTTGTGTAAAACTGCTCTTCCGCCTCAAGGGTTGTACTGAAATATCAGAAATGGCGGGAACCAATCATAGTTTGCCAAATCGCTTTGTTCAAACTCCAGCCAATCATACCTCTAATTTGTATAATGATTCTATGCCTACTTTCCTTAGACTATATAACATTGTTCGGAGCTCAGTGGGGGAGCTCTCCTGCCCGTCTCGTTTCACGAGCAAGTGAGAGCTCCAGGTTCGAACCTGTAGTAAAGATCCTTGCTGCTTAGCTTTGACTCTGGACTCTGGTGGTCTTCTTCGGGGAATAAACGGTCTGGGCATAACAAATGGGGGCTCGTCCGGGATTTCCCCCAAGCCCACCAGACCCCCAAGTCAACGGATCTTAATCTGTAGGTAATCCGGCTTTGTCACTGTCTCTGTCTTTGTCTCTGTCTGTCTCCCTGAAATTTCGCGAAATCCGTAATCTGTAATCTGTATTGGTCTGTTCTGTAAGTGGCACAGTCTTGGCGGACGCGCTAGAAGACAGCCACTCGGGACTGGTGGGAGACGTTCCCCAGTGCCCATCTGGGGGCCTCCATCCTTGGTTGCCCCGTCTGACTCAGGTCGGAAGTCCGACACGCGCTCGCGAATGCTCATCGTTATTACTGTCT